AGTGTTGGGGGTGCAGAATGACCAGTAGCACGTGAGGCAAAGCAAGTGTATGTGAGTCGTTTCATCGGCACTGATTTGTTTGTTTGAGAATTGCTTCTCTGAGCCTCGTGGATGGTAGGCAAATGCTGTACAGCTGAGCTTCCACCCCCGCCCTCATTCTCTTAACTCTCTCGATCAGTTTTTGGATCCCTGCATCTTCTTACAGGGAAAGATGCTTACTGTGGCTCTGGTATCTGAGAGAGGAGAATATCCAGTTCACACCCTGAAGCGTCCTCTCTAGGACCACACAGCCCGCATTCCTTTGAACACAGGAATATTAATGTTTATCATATTTACCTTAGGAGAATTATGTGAGAAGCAAATATTGAGGCACCAGGTAAACTGGAAAGCTCTATAAAGCGAAAGCTACTAGCATGTTAGTGGTGATACATGAAAACTTAGGTGAGAGAAACATCTCTTCCCTAAATTATATCTGGAAATGCTTTTTGTGCCTTGCACCTAACTCGTCCTTGCTTCTAGGGACACAAATTTGAATCCAGAACTCAGAACTCCTGGATGTGATAGTGCTGGCACTTTAACAAGATACTGTTTCCCTTACGATTATGGGAACAGACAGATCTGTAGCATACTTAAGTGGGAAGAACATGGAACAAAGTCCCAAAGAAATTTAGAGCCTTGTACGAATTTAGGAGAGTAATGCAAGCATGTGATGCAATGTAGGTGTTCAGTGTTGGAGCTTCTTATTACGAGAAGGTCTAAAAATACTGACAAGTTAACAATGTTGACATCAGCATCAGGAACTCCACATCAACAGCCTGCCGGCTACATAAAAGTGCATAAAATCCTAGTAATTAAATATTTTTTCAGTCAGAAAATTTTTTATCGAAGTTTCTCAGTTATATGAAATATTTCGATGTTCAAATAGTAGCTATGAGGGAAAGAACGTTTTAGAGCGCAAATAAGGGGTGGCCCCTGGTGGTCTGCAGCAGCAACTACAACACGGGGCCTTTCCAACCTTAAATCCCGGGCTGTGAAACTGATTCTTCCACAGTTCACCTTAGACTCTCATTTTAGCCCTGGGCCTTTCCTTAAAACTATTCTTAATGCATAAAATAAAGGCTGTCTACATCAAGCAATGTTAAAGTCAGGTTAAACATTATCTCCTCAAATCACTTATGAGGAAAACAATTTTTCTAGTTCTTTGAAATAGTTTTATTATAGTTATGCTGCTTAGTCTAACTGTAATTTAGCACCCAGCGACTGACCTTTCCTCACCCCTCAGCCCATCCAGCCTCACCACAGGATTTTTGCACTACATTAGGACAGCGAGACCTGTCACTTTGTATATGAGCCCTGAAGAACAATTTAGTTGGGATACTGTTCTATTATGAAATAATTTTTTGGCTAAAAACACTGTAGGTTGTCACTATGGTACTTGTAAGTGGGATTTTTTTTTGGTAACCTCCACATATGCATTGTGGAGCAACTCATTACACACTTCGTGAGTTACTACCCTTTAACATTCAGAGGTGTAAAACCTTTATTTCACAACTTGATGTATTGACCGGGTGACCTAAGTCCAACTGAGATTTGGGGAAAATAAAAAGCAACTATAGATTTAATGTATCTGCTCAATAAGTTTCAATTAATAAAGACTACCACGTGGGTATTGTCTATTTGTACAATAATGAAATGCCATGCATCTGTGTATGTAAGATTACTTGTGCTTATTTAGATTCTTTTAAATGACAATTATGTACATAAATATTAAATGCTGTACTTTAATAAGGCAGAATTTATATACAATAAACTTTAGTTACCATTAAGTATTTCTGAGATTTTACATGCTTGTATATAATTTGGTAATTTAAATATAGTAATGAAAATGGTGAATTAAAGAGATTTATTCTTCTATGTATGAACCCTTTACCATATGCTATCATCAAATACTAATTTTAAATAGCGAGTGTTAATACAGAGATGGGACTGCAACCTGAAATTCACTCAAACTTTACTACCTATTTATTTTGTTTTATGGCAGGACCGCAGAGGGCCTGGAAACATTTGAGGACTGATGAGGTTCTAAAATAGAGTTTTTATTTAAATTACATTTTTACCAGGCACACATGCAAGAGAATCCCTTCAGAACTCTCTAGCTCTTCTGTTACGGTTTAACACAAGCAACTCCATTCTGATTCTGACAACTTCCACATCATACGGGAGACACACACAGGGGCAGATAAGGGAAATGCAATCCGCTTTGTACTCACAGGAGGAAAGAGAATGGTCCTGGGTCTCCCCGTGACCCCACAACACAACCAACCAGCAAAAATTCACTAGTTGCAGAAGCACGGTGGATTGCCTATAATTCATTTATCAAATTCTTTAAGGTAATTTATCTGTCAGATTGTTTATACACTAAGATTTTTCTCAGGTCTTCCCTGGAGAAGACAAATGTAATGAACTATGTTTTCCTAAATAGTCTAATAAGTTACGCATTTCTGATCCCTCAGGTCTCTATTTTTTAGCATCTAGAGTATTTCATTAAAATGCTCAAAATTAGATATTTCTTTCTCAGAATCAACAGACGCACAAACTTTCTGACGGGACCTTCTTTCCCCCAGATGGTCACTTAAGAGAGCAATTGAAAGGAGTGGAGCTTTGTTCTTGCACAAAACTGGTTCTGCACCTTTTCTAGAACGTTCAGACCCTCCTCCCTCCGCCTCCATCCCCTTCAGTCCTCACACGCACTCTGGGGCCAGACAAGGAAGGAAGGGGAAAGATAGTTACACTAGTCGTTTCTCTCTGTTCCCTGAAGTTTGTGCTAATTATTGTTTAGAGAATTTTCTAGGCCCGTGTCTTGTAACTACTTTAAGGCTGACAATATGCCTTGTATTAACTATTGTTATTCCGGGGTTTTTTTGGTACTGGGAATCGAACTCAGGACCTTATGGCTTACCAAGCAGGTGCTGTGCCACTGAGCTATATACACCCAGGCCCTCTCCTTTTATGAAATTTTAGGTTTTCCTATAAAATAATAAAAAACATACTCAGGCATTATGAAGGATGAGGTCTGAGCAGGCACTCCTGAAAAATGGCAGGAAAGGGTTGTTCCTCCCCGATATTAGGATTTATCTTCCTTGTTTGTCAGATTCGATAGTGTCGGGTTCATAATGAGGTTGTTGGAAAGATACACATTCAGGTATAAAAGCAAACAGCAGAACCCAACAGGACTTCTAGGTACTATTTTAGCAAGAAAACTGGGAAGACTGTAGTTTACTTTTTAAGAAAACTATATAATAGTTTGTTTCATTTCCAGTCGGTTTCCCATGATCAACACAGTAAACAAAGTCAAATCCTTTCACCCCGAACCATGTTTAACACTTACCTTTCTTAGCTGCTGCAAGGTATTTATTTGTTCCCCTTTCTCATTCTCATTTCAAACACGTAGGACAGGCAATAGTCACTTTTATCAAGCCTTTACAATCGGCTCCGCGTACTTTGCACTAAATCTTGTTTGTTCGTCTGACTCTTTGAGCTAGCCTTCAGTCTGCTGATCTTCTGTTGAATGAAGCCTGCTACCGTCCCATCTGTTGAATTCTCATTCAGGGTTTGTACATGTTGGTTCCTCGTTTTGTTCCACTTCTGTATCTTCTTATTCATTTATGCTAGTCCAAGGCCTTGTGTAATGACTGCAGCATCCGGATTCACCCTGTATATCTTGTGTTGTCTGTGTTTGTTTCTAGCCAACTGGCTGTTGGTGAGCTTGCTTCCTATGTGCTGACTAAGTGCCAACACTGTAGATGCGAACTACTCCCCGAGCTCTGCCCGCTGCCACCTTCTCCTGAGGGCTAAAACCCCTTCAGGTGGGCAGTGCGCCAGCCTGTCACCGAGCTCTCACTACAGGCTGCTCTCAGGGCTAGCCAGTTTTAAGGCTGCGCCTTTCCCCAGTGTGTGCCTGCCCTTTGGTTCTAGCGTGAAGATCCTTATTCCTAGCAGGCAGCCCTGTCTAGGCTCTGTGTACCTTCTTGTGTATAGCATGGAAAGCACAGGTGTTTGCCGAGACGCCTGCAGCTCACTTGTGTGGTGGGTCAGCCACAGACAAAACTAGGGTGAGAAAAAGCAGGTTCCTACAGCAAGGTGCCAGCCTGGGCACGAGCCCCTCTCTCGGTTTGCTCCTAGGCTTTGTTCTGGCAGCCCTGAACTCCTGTCTCCTCTGCTCAGTAAGATGCTGCTTTGCCCCGTGCTGGAAGGTGCTCCCAGGAGGTGCAGATGGCGCTGGCCGCACATTGCTGGGTGCACCAGCTGCCTTCCAGTGCACAACAGCTGGCCGTTAGGCGCTTGCACCGAGGCGAGGGCCACCTTTACTGAATGCGTGTGGATGGACTGCTCGGCCCTCGCTCGGGTGAGCGCTCCATCCTGGCGTCCCGCCCTTCGTGTTCAACGTCTTACTTCTTCAAACCCAATGTGCATTTATCAGATGTGCTGTTTCTTAATAATTTTTGATGTGATAGGTAAGAAAAAAAGCATAAAGCTCCAAACCATTTGTAATGTAACCCAGTTTTAAAAATAATCCCCATGTTTGTGTTTGTTTGTATGTATACATTACTTCTATTTACCTGACCAAAAGGAAATTATTTCTAGATGATAGAACAATTTTTCACTTTATTTTTAAACAGCTTTCCGTGTTTTAAAATGAATAAAAAGTGTCACTGGTTGGTTATGTTCAGGTAACGGAATTACGGGTTTTTAAAAAGGTTGTCCTCCTCCTCCACATAAGTCAGGGCAATACTGCTTTTTTACAAATTTTAACGTTTTCATAACAAAAAGCTCTTCACATCTAAGGGTTGCACAAAATTGTAAATGTACTTACCACTACTGAAGTGTATACTTAAATGACTAAAGAAGCGAATTTTCTGTTGTTTTTATCACAATTAAAAATAAAGGAAAAAAGTAGGAATTACAGTAGACCACTAAAAGAATTAAACGAATCATCCAGGTAGAGAGAAGCAAATGAGTTTTAATTATGGGTTTGGCCAACCTGTAGAAATCAAGTTTTGCCAAACTGTTTTTACAACATGTTCAAATTTTACCAAATTGTTTTTACAGCACATGATGACTGCCGTGCAGGTTTAAGGAATGTAAATTCACATTTTAGATATTTGGTACCCGTGTACCCTGATTATGATTGTCTTTTTCAAATTCTTTATAATTATTAGGAAAAAAATGTGTAAGAAAAGTCTAAAATGATCTTCCGAAAGGCTTGGAAACTTTACTTCAGGCCACTCTTTTTGTGGGGCAGGGAGATACCAAGAACCGAACTCAGGACCTCATGCTTGCAAGGTAGGCGCTGAGCTGAGCTAGATCCCTGGCTCCAGGCCACTCTTGTTGACCACAAAAGGTATGTTTTGATTCACAAGTTTGCATAATTCCTTCTAAATAGTACAGGGCACTTCCCTAAGATAAAGACCCACATTTCCTTTTTATTTGTACTGTCCTAAGTAAGTTCAATGCTAATAATTACCGCTCTCTGCAACGATAGCTTATGCTTCCATTGCTGCAATCTCTGCCTAAGTGACTGTTTATCCATTTATTCAAGTTAGCAATCACATAAATCATGACAATCTCCAAAATCCATAATAAAAGTCAATGTTATATGTTTATTTTTTAATCAAGTACTTTGTAAGCCTCAAAATATCCATAATTAACAGAGTAAGACAATAGCATGAAATGAGAATATAAACCCACATTGCAGAAAGACAAACAGCACTTTAGTCCATCGAGGTGACTGAACACGAGTGAAGTGCCATTCTCACCATCAACCCCTTTTTGTTCTTTAAAAACAGTTCGACTGGTTTTTAAAATTTTCACTTGTAAACAACATGAATCAAAATGGACAATGAGGTTAAATCTAAATACTATACAGTATAATTTTAAAACACTAGATAAAACACTGTATTAAAGACAGGAATTAGGGTTCACTTTGGTCTCTAGTATGGTAAAGGTGTTAATTATATTAAAGCCAGCTTGGTGGTAGGTGCCAGTGGTTGAGAGATGGGGTTAAAGAGGTAGTCAACACCATCATTATCAAGCTGGGAACAGCCACAGATGTATTAAATATCATAATACTTTCTCACAGTACAGTACTTTGCCATAACTTTGCAGCTTCGTTCCAAACATAAAATTTAACAATGAAGCCTAGGTCAACCTGTCACTCTTAACAGAAAAACTAGGACACAGATCACACAACCAAATCTTAAACAGGCTGCTGACAGTTAAGTTAGACAAAATTTGATGCTCTCAACAAGTCATTCCTTTCTAAAACAAACCTCATTAAGACATCTAGAAAATTAAAGTCAGTGCGGCTGCATATTTTCCCAAATTTTATAACCAAAGGGAAAATGCACATATATATTTTATGATAAACATTTCTTAGGGAAAACAGATAAATTAATTTAAATTAACGTTAAGACTTAATGAGATTTCCCATGTTCTGAATAATCCATCTTAAAGTGAATGTTACAAACTTTATTAACACTTATGGGCTTCTATTCACAAACTAAATACAACCAGCAGTAACTTGGGGCTGCACTGGTGCAAAATAAAACTGAGCCAGAATACAGAACAATACTGGCAATCAAATTGGGCTGATGCTAATAACATGATGTTTCTTGATCTTTTTCTTTACATTGCACGCGGAATTTCCAAGTTGTAAGCAGGTAAAAACCATTCTAAGTCTTTCAACTGTAAAAATACATCCAAAGGCTACAAATGCTAGTATAAAAATGCTTTCACTATAATCTGCCTTTAAACAAAACAACAGCTCACGGGGCTCAGAGATTGGCAGTGCATCTTCAAGAATTAGATTTGTGCTGACACGAGGCTGAGTTCAAGAGGCAGCTTAACTCACAGACCTAGCGCTCACCGGGAGTAACTCCTACAAGCCAGTGCTTCCCACAGACCCTTTTCCTCAGTAGCTACGAATGGCATTGCACTTGAAGTTCACTCCTTGGCAAGCCAGTGCTAACTACCTGCCTGGGGCAACGGAGATGTGTAAATGAAGGAGTTTGGCATATTTCATATACAACTTGCTTGGTGTGATTACCGTATACTCATACACCAACCTCTCCGCCTGCTAACCTTTCTGAACCCGCCCCCCTCCCAAGCTTTGGGCAAAGCAGCTATTTCTAAGATTGCTTGTGTTCTGGTTTGCTTAAGCCAAAGAGTGCCCATAGTTTTTAAAACTAAATACATGGTTAACTTTAAGGAAATGCTTGGAGACTTTGCTAATTAAAGTGAGATTCTTCATTATTCAAACACATTTGTCCAAAACATGCAGTTATGAATTGCTATCTATAATACAGATAAAAAAGATTCTGTACCAGAGAATTCCCAGTCATCTGTAAGGCTAGAGCAGCATCGAGGTGTGCTTTGTATCAACAATGAGGTAGCCCTGTGCTGTAAACAGAATATTCACCATGTGCATGAACAGTAGCAGTGATATTCACATCTGCAAGAGTAAAGGAATTCTGCTTTGGAGGACTTTTCACAGGAAATAAACACAGAACTGATACCTGACATTCAGGATTCTGATCTATGGCCTAACTCAGAGGTAGTTACTAACATCAAGTACATGTACTTACATAAAGGTCTAAGTTATCTGGCTTGTTTTGAGTAAGCAGGACTGTAGACTAGTCTGTAGGAAATAGCAACATTATATGGAATGTTCCCTGAGCAAAGTTCTTTTGTCCTGAGTACGTTATGTAATAGTGACAGTGTTCTCATATAAAAAAATAAACTCCAACTTTTACCATTGATAGGTTTGGTGTATGCTCTTAGTGGGTCGGTGCAGTCAGATGCTGAGACAGATTTAAAATGGTACCTACAAGGGCCACAGTTCTCCATTCATACCATCATCTCAGCTCTGAACTTCTTATATATATATATACAGGGAATGCCCAATTTTCAAGTCCATAATTTCCTATTTCTACAGAGTCAAGGAACTTTGGTTTGAATTGTCAAAGTGACTTGTCATATTTCACATTTTTACTGTTAACCTGCTTGTTATACCTGCTAAAAATTAAGCAATGCCACTTTGATTTGTCTATATAATTTAAATAAGCTTGTAATCCTCACGTAGGGAAATACTTCTCTACAGCTACATCACATTCAATATCGTCAAAGGCAGGCCTCGCGGCACACTGACACTTCAGTACACACCATGGAGATCCCGTAAACAGTGCTGTGAACTCCGCGCTGAGAGATGAGGACTGGCCGCCCAGCCCAGGCACGCTGTTCTGGTGGCCTGCTGGAACAGCGGCACCTTTATCAGCACCCACGCAGGACAGCACAAAAGGGAGCAGAACGGTCCAGCAGAGTTATCTTACGGAGTCAAGTGGTCTTCTTGCTGATTATCTGAGCTTACATTAACAGGCGCATACAAAACTATACTTATTGCCAGTAGTAAGCATTCTAACTAATTGGTACCTTTTTGGAGATTTTCAGAAATTTGCCTATAATGTCTAAAAACAGGATGATTCCAGGTTAATTTTTTTTTTCATGACTGAAACCTAAAGCGACTGACACTGTGACTGGTCCCTATCCAGTTTGTCATGGTAATGAAAATCAGCTTGAGAAGTAGCATCTGATGTTCACCCCGAACCCCCCTTTTCGGGTTCCTTCTCTGAAAGTACTGAGGGGAACAGTCATCAGATCAATGCTACTGGGTAAGACACTTCCAGCTACGTGGTGGGAGAGGCTTCAGTACTCTGTCCAGACCTGTCACTGTAGTTGCCTGCCACCAAACACTAGGGTTTAGTATCTTTCACAGGTCAAATCTACTGGACAGTTCTGAGTATCCACTTAATTTTTACTCTCAACCCCAGTATTTTATTTTTCACTTTCATGCTGCTTTTTGGAGAACTCTTCAAAGGGAGTAAAAATAGCCACCAAAAAATACAGACCATATGATTGGAGTTTTCCGGAAAGGTCTTCAGTAGTAAATAAGGAGGACTCCCTGCACTTGGCAATGGATCAAGACTGACTGAATTAAGGGGAGCTGCTGTTGCCACAACCCCTAAAACTCTCAGAACATGTTAGAGATTATAACGAGCTCGGATCAAAATACCACTGAAAATCACCAACTTACTACATTTATACATTACCCTCCCCTTTGTTTCTCTTATTAGGCATGTAATTTACAATCAAAATATAGAATTAAAAACACTGAAATGTCGGCACAGAAACTACACATTCATTGTCTCTTCTGGAGCTATATATTCCAGAATCAAAACAGTTATGGCAGTCAGAGGCATGTGGAGTTAAGGTACTACCTTCAAATGGGAGAAAAAAATCACTCCATACATAGCAAGAAAAAGGCAATCCCAAACTTGGTAGAAACTGGATGTCTTACAAACCCTTAGTACCCTAGACTGGCAGCTTTGAGATCTGAAGTTTCCTTTGGTTCACACAAAAGGTAACAGTCATGTTTTCATGTTGTGTAATATAAAAAAGTGATAGTTTAAGAAAAACTCAAGGGATTATTTTCTAAACCATCTTAAGTACTTCACGTGGCTTTTCAGTGTCTTAGAGATGTCCGATTCTGTGAGGGCGGGTGTGCTTATGCATACACACACACACACACACACACACACACAGAAACCCTCTCTGTATATGTCTGCAATCCTAGGAGGTTCCTTAAACACCTGCGCACAGATTTAGGCTCCGCCCCCTCACGTGTGCATATATTGATATATATAGCATCTTAGTCTCTGAATTACACACAAAACATGACAACTTGTTCAAATGCAATTTGCTTAGAGTGATTTGTCTGTTAAAAATCCACAATTTCTCACAGCAGTTAAACATCCCAGGCTGCTCTCTCTGAATGCTGCTTCCCTGCACTTGCACGAGGTAGACCTCCCAGCCGGGAGGAGAACGCAGCAGGAAGCAGGGCTATGTCTTTTTTCTTTTCTGAACCGAAGGCCCCTTCTTGCTCGGCTCTTCTGAGGCTGCAGACGCCTTGGCGGAGGAAGCCTCTGGCGGGGACCTGCCCGGCCGTTCCGGGCCCCCCGCCCTGGCCTCCGGAGGACGAGGCGGGGAGGTGCGGCCAGGCCCGCCTCCCCCGGCTCTCGGAGAGGCCGAGGTGCAGGGCTGGGGTTCCGCTTCCGGTCTTCCCTGAGAACTGGCAGGCAGCTGGGCGACAGTCTTAAGGGGGCAGTTCGCCACCATGTGCATCACGCTCTGACAGTAATGGCACTTCTTTGGCTGAGGAGGTAGACTGCATTCTTTCGCATGGTGATCAAGGCCACCGCAGTTGTAGCATCTGTAAATAAGAATGAAGAACATCTTAGAAACAGGGGTAGCATGCGCCTGAAAAATGTAAGTCATTAATGAATGGTAACACACACATAATTTAAAAACTTACCAAAATACACAACTGCCAATGAGACCAGTTTAATGTGACTTAAGAGTGTATAATGCTATTTACACTGGTTGCTTCAAGAATCACAGTCACCAGAATGTTCCAGCAACTTTGGTCGTGATAAACACAATAGCCAGTGTCATATCGTTAGTAAAACATGAAAAGCTATTCAATTATTTCTAGGTAGGAATAACCTGCTCATTTAAATTTGACAGGTTATTTTCAGAGATTAGTCCACTAGAGGGCAGTCCACACTCAACAAAGTCAACCAGTTGGCTTTAAAATGAATAAAAGTACAGACAACCTTTGCCATGATATGTAATACCATTTCCCTTAGCTACTGAAAAAAATTATAGAGCGAATTAAATGTTATGAATTTAAAACATTTTTAGTGTTAATTATTTTGACTGTGAAAGGACGCTTCGTGTTTTACTGCTTTGGGTCAATCATAAAAGGTGCGCATTCTGAATTGGCAAAAATGAGGCAAACAATTGTCTGTTTTTTCATTTTTCAGTGTTATTTGACAATAGAGTCAAAAGACGGGCTTTTCTTTTTTGCAGTGGTGAACAGGTATATATCTTAACAAACTGGATATTTCTAAAATTTAAAGGGAAAATATTACACTGCAAATTCAATACTGTTTCAAACATTGTTCTAAGAGATAGTACAAAACTACCGAGTAAAAACTGCGGATTAATGCCGACATACTTTAAAATGTCATCTCTGAAAAATGTTCCTTATAATAATGATTTCCCACTCAGTTCTCTTCTACAGTGGGTTAAGTGAATTCTTAAATCAAATTTACCCATCTGTAAAATATCTTCTTCTGAATTAAAGTCACTTCCCGAGAATAACATCCCTAAGAGGTCGTTTTTGAAGGAGAGAAAATAGGTTAAAGGCTTCGGGGTAATAGAGCTGGCTCTCCTGCGGACACGTCAATTTCAGCGGTCAGTATGTGTTATCCAATTCAGGAACCCTTCTGCCCGCTCACTGACCAACAGACTGATGTCAAAATTCCACTTTCACAAATAAGTCACACTCTGTGCCGTACCACTGCATGTGAGTTATAACGTTTATTGTTAAGGACACCATTAACTTTGCTTGCCTTGCATTCTGATCTGCATAGTTAATTCACCTGCTTGGCTTTTCAGGTGCATGCTATCCTTAGGCCAGACCTTGTTCTGTCTACACTGAAAAGACCTGCACTCGCTGTATCAAAGGAAGGAGTGGGACTTAGCTTTCCTCCTCTATTTAATCACTCAGTGTCAATCGTTCTGCACACGGACAACACCCAATTATGAAACCCTTCCTTTCCCAGGGACTGATGCCAAAATGGAAATATCTAGCTACCTTTCAACTCAAATGACATGACAGCCACACACGCCTATATGGAAGCTACGCATGGTTCTAGGCCCTTTTGTTCACTTTCCACAATCCTCCAAAGCAGTCTTTATTATTTTGAATAAATTTTACAATTATGTGAACATAAAAATGGCCAGTGTCCCCACATATAGCAACATGCTTAATAACTGTAAAGACATAGTATCACAAGCAAAAGACCACAGATAGAAAATTATAATCATACTTTGTTATATATCCCAAGCTACACATAAAAAAATAAAATCTGCTGGGTTAGCATAGGCAAGGCCCCAGGACAAAGCCCCAGGTTGCCCCCAAATTTTTTTAATAAATAAAATTTCCATGTTCAGTGTTTTATAAAATGCTGAGCTAATGATACAAAGTGCTTTTCACATATTAAACATAAATACTTTTAGAATATTAAGTTCTTCATAAAATTAATACATAATCTAATGAGCTAGAATATTCTATATGTATTACTTTTTATTTTTGAAGCCTTTAAAACATATTTTGATAAACCAAATTGATAAAGCAAATCAGGCTGAACATGTTTTAAAAGATTATCAAAGTAAAATTAAAAATTTTAAATGAAAGGGTGCCATCAGTAGATGGAATAGAGGCACCTAAAATAGCCGAATAAAATTTTTTAAAAAGTATTTTAGGCCTTTAGAATAGAATATATATGTGAGATATATATACACATATATGTATTACAGAATATAATATATATTTTCTGAAGACCAAGCACTTCTCTTAATTAGTTAGAACATATCCAAATTTCTAATAATTTTTTAAAAACAAAAACTGAATTAGAAACCAGAATTAGATATGCTTATGTGAAACATAAATAATTTCAATGATACAAGCTATAATAGAACTGAGCTCAAATGTGGATGACTAAAATATATGTAGACATTAATTTTTAAGTGATATTCTAGTGTTTTAAGTGAAACACTTCACCAACTATAAAATCTCCTTTGATCACAAATGTGATAAAAAAATTTTTTTTTTAGGGTGAGAGGTGAGCCAGACGGAGCCAATTAGTTGGAGCAACAGTACATACAATGTGATTTTAAAAAATACAATGAATGCTACTGCTGTGTGGCATCTAAAGGCAAGGCAGAGACCTTCGATAGGAGAAGAGGTACATGGAACCTCAGTGCGGGACAAGTTTCAGCTTGTCTGGTGCAGTCGGCTGGGAGCTACACTGGAGAGATGATGTTTTATAAAGTACTCTGTACATCACAGATCAGAGATACCACATTAACAGGACATTTTTTTCAACTTTGTTACAGCTATGTCATTATATGCCTTTAGATTTCAAGCTTTTTAAGAAATGTCATCAGAGGACATAAAATTTGGGTCTCTGGTTATGATCTTGAAACCAAGCTTCAGAGTTCTCAATAGAGATCACCCAGCACTCCCTGTGCAAAAACAAAACAAAAACAAAAACTATGTCAACTGAGATCTAACATCAAAGTGACATTACCTGTGTTTTCTGACTTCGATGGAATTGTGCCAGCTGAGTTTGTACCATGGAACAGTATGATGAGGCCCTGAGCCATTTTAAAAGCTTATTAGAGCATTTAAGAAATGATACGTGCAGAAAATGGCCTGAGAAATGCTCAGATGGTCTCACCCCCCATCACAACAGTGCTGTGTCACAATCCGTTTCTGGTATAATCATTTCTGTCAAATAAGTATACCTTTATGCATCTTAATCTCTAGATCTAGCACTGTGCAACTTGTGGCTCTCCCCAAAAGTCAAAATGATCATGAAAGATAAATATTTTAAATCTTCAAGACATTGAGGCAGCCACCACAGTGGAACTAGACACTCAGGAAAGCGAACTGCAAAACTGCTTCAGAATCGACAAGAAAAACTGCATGCGTACTTGAAGGGAAGTATGCATTTTAACCATACTTCATACTGGAAAAACTTGGAATGCTTCTTGCTATTTGAAAATGTTAAGAATCTATACGGAAATTCAAATGTCTGTTCTGAGTAGCAGTCCAAAGCACTAAGAATAAAGACACAGGACCCGTCTGCTTCTCAAGACGAAGGAAACGCTGAAAAACTGTGAGTAAAGAAGAAGTAAGGAGACAATGTAGAGTGGAAAAGAAGGCAGTCTTGGAGCTGGAAGAAAACGTAATTACAGCAAGGGAACAGAAAAAATTCCTGGGGCGCAGCGGCGGTGGTTTAGCTCAGGGGTGCAGCGCCTCTCCGGCAGGCCTGAGGTTCCGAGTTTGATTCCTGGTAGGAAAAAAATTCAAGGTGGGGGTGGGGATGGAGAAACCAGGACCAGTGGTTTGAAATGGGAGGTCAGCCAGGGCTTACGATGAGCCACAGGTTGGAAAGAATTTCACTAACTAAACTGAAGAAAAGGTAGCAGACTCTTTAAGGAGGGGAGGTCACCATTTTTAACCTTCACACTGTCCAGCAGAAATAAGGGGGTGACGGTGTAATCTACAGTATATGACACCTGGAAGTTGAAACCTTGGTTCACTCTCTGGTACCCTCCCAAATCAAGTAATGCTGCTAAAAAAGGTTTTCCGTTTTAATCTATCTAACCGCTTGATCCCTAATTCACTTGTGTGTCAATCAACACAGCACATGAATTCTAGACCCAAGTCTGGTGGTGGTGGGAGGCAGTAAGCAGAAGTAATGCCATCAGAGAAGCCGGAGTCCGACAGAAAAGCGCCCCGAGAGTCACCTTTGCCAGGAACGGCCCGCACTCTGTGTCCTGAGGCTGAGCACACTCTAAGAGCCTCCCTTCGGAGGCCCCGCTCTGCTCTTCCAGCCTCGGAAGCATCTCCGTGGACTGGGGCGTGCTTGGTGCTCTCCGTGGCACCAGCCCCTTTCGAAACACTGAGGAGGGCAAGGAGCTTCCAGGCCTCGCCGGGCGGGACCTCGCTCAAAGTCAGCCACACTTTGAGGAAGTTGCTTTTGATTTCATTTTTCTTATATCTATGCTCCTTAAGACTACAAGCTAGTTAAACAATAAAGTTTTTAATTAAGTTTATTTTTATATATTCTTAAATAGTAGGAAATACTAAATTTTTAATAATACTACTTAGTAGTGACACAGGTTGTTTTTAAGGGTTTCCTGGAAAGCAAATACACATATAATCTCAGAAAAGTTTTAATTATCATTTAAAATGTAAAACCCAATAACATCCTTCTCTATTGCTTTAATTCATGCAAAAAATAAAATATTCTATACATAGTACGGTATACTGTTAAGAGAACTTAGTAATAAAAATAATGGCTTCAATTTACTGAGTACTTATTGTTCTCAAAACTGTAAGGGTTTTAATATGTTGTACAATTTAGTGTTCTCCTAAACTGTTCTCATAAACTGCTGTTCATGAAGACACTAAGACTCAGAGTTTATCTCAAAGGAAATTTTTGTTGAAAATAACATATTTCATTTCATTTTTATTATATACAATGTCACACCCAACAATATTGATCTGACTTTATTATATGTAAGTCTATAAAAATACAGGAGCCTGGAATTTAAAACACCAAACACACTCAT